TTCAAACCCATGTTGTTCAAGAGTCAACTGTATTTACTTTTATTTTTATTCTGAAGAGAAGCAACTGCTTTTTCCCCATTCATGTTATCTAAGTAAACTCCTGATAAATTTTATTTTATTTTATTTTATTATTGTATTATATTTTTATTGCAGTCTATTACCAAAAGACCTGGGGAAACTGGACTTCTCTGAGCTCTTGTTTCTGCTACCTGTGCAGAATTCTGGAACTGGTAACACAGGACCGGAGCAGGAGCAGGGAGAAGTGGGCTGTTAATTGTTTATTCAATGGTCACACCTCCTTCCTTCCTGTTGCCAGAGTCCTGATTCGTTTGATGGTCCATCCATCTGTCTCAATAGCAACTCCTGATTGGGCTCTAGTGTTTCTCACCCAAGATAACATTGTCATTTGGGTAAGATAATTCTTCATCCTTAAGGACGGGCCTGAATATTGCAGGACACTTCTTGTTCCTGTGTCCTGGGTCCTAAATGCCTCACACAGACATCTAGTTACCTTGTAAACCAAGAATATCCTTGCACATTTCCATATCCTTCCATTGGGGGAGGGGCACCACACTCAACTGAGAGCTGCCAGGCCATCTGGGTTGTCCCTTCATCTTGGTTGTCATTGGTTTAGTGGACAGGGTTACCCAGTTCTAGCCAATCAGACATGAGATAAAGTTTGCTGCAGGCTTCTGAGAAAGGTTTCCTCTCACTACAAAAGAGGCTCAGGAAAGAAACAATTCCTCTTTCACCACTGGGTGTGGTTATGTGATGACAGCTATTTTTCAGCCATGGGGGCAAAACTGGAAAATGAAAAGATGGCAGAGTGCAAAGATGGAAACATCTGGGGCCTGCGATGGTATCATTGAACTGCAAATCAGCAAACCCTGGAGCTGTGCTACCTCACATTTCCTGCTCGGAAGGAATAGAATTGCCTTATTGCTTATTAAGCCTCTTGAGTTGAGATCACTCAAGCCACTTGCAGCTTAGAGCACTCAAACTGTCACGCGATACAAGGACACTGGACTTCTGAAGGGAGGACCAGGAAAGAACAATGGGAGGGCCGTGAGGTGCTGGAGACAACTTTGGCACATATGGTGCAATTAAAGGGGAAAGAGAATGAAGTCTAGAAAGTGGAATCTGAGCCCTAATGTGATCACTAAATAACTCTGTGACTTTGGGTAAGGCACATTACATTATCTCAGCCTTAGATTATCTCAGCCTTAGATTTCTGACCTAAACTCTTATCAGGATTAGATTTACAGAAGTCCTCATCTCCCAGCCTGTGGGCCACACTGGACCTACACTCTGTTTCTTGCTGGCACATGTGCTTAGTAGCTGTGTAGTTCTGACACAGATGCCACCACGTCTCACTGTCTTACATCCTGGCCTCTTCACCCACTTCACCTACCTACTTCCTGGGCCATTTGAGTTCAAGGCCCCCATGGAAACCCACTCCTTCTTATCCTATGAGATGCAGATACTGTGTTGTTATATGGCTTTGATATAAATGTCATTTGGGTCAACAATCAGCCTCAGGATCTCTGCTGTTTCTACAAGTCTTTTTGTCTGCACCAAATGAATTTTATTCTAAATAAAATACCAAAGACCAATTCCAAGCTATCCACAGTTAAAATTACTAGTTTTCACTTTCAAGGAGCATCTAGTATATGTTTTAAATACAGAATCCATGAACACTAACCTTGCACATTATATCCCATCCTGTTCAACTTTTAATTAACATTTATTTGCAGAAAAATAAAAATTACTTTCCCTCATCTACTTATGGGTATTATATAAACCACTTAAATAGAGTATTCTCTAGTGCCATCTAGGGGATTTCAGACCAAAAAAAAAAAAATCGTCAGCTCAGCTGAAAAAGAAAAACAAGCACTGAGAAATCAGCTGTGACTCGCAAAGTAATTTCTTATACATATCCGATAGTGTTTGGGCAATCTTTTATTTTACAGTTTGGATAGCTGAGCAAGGTCACACATGGTGCTGCACCTGGGGAATGCATAAATGAGTAAAATGTCTGACATTACGCCCATGCTTGGTAGCCTAATACTTCACAAACATAACCTTGAGAGAAAAAAAAAATTGTCCCCATTTACATCAATCCTTTTTCTAAAACCAAATCAAGCAGGATTGGCTAATATTTCTTAACTGTGCTTTCTGGATACCTGGTGCCTACATATTAATCATGTACATGTAAGAATTCCAGCAAGTGCCCTCGGAAGCTAAAAAAAAATTGACTGACACTTTGCAAGGTGTTTGCCTCCAGCCCCAGCCTCTAGCACAATGCCCAGCAGACAGAAGACAAACCCTGAAGTATTCATTTTACTGAGCTGAGCTCAGTAGCCTCTGGATGTTTCTGTTTGATGACGTGTGAGGGCCACCTTTTCTACTGAACTATATGTGACTCAATTGCAGTAGTCTGTGTTCACCTAAATAAGCACATTTCTGGAAAGGTTTACTTGTGTGATGACTTCATGGTGGGCACAATTCCCATAGGTTGCTGCATTTAATCTTTCCCCCAAAGCCTGTGATTCCTATAAATATGGAATTCCCGTTTTACAAATAAGAAAACTGAGGCATAAACAGATTATGCTCCAGCCTCCAACAGTGTACTTCTCCACTAAAGAGAAATTTCAAATGGAGCATTTAAATATGGCTATTATATAAATATCTTACAAACTATTGGGTCATTGGGAAAGTCATGACACATTTTTGCATTGAAAAACATAGAAAAATAAGTCATGACTTTCCCAATGACCCACTATTTCCACCAAGGAGAACAATGCACATAAGACTGAACCCCATGAAATTCCCGATATCCCACCATGTGGGACCTACAAAAAGAGCACTTACATGTGATTCAACACAACATGTTCCCAAATTCAAAGCCACGTCCCTTTAAGACAGATAAAAGGAAAAAGTAGCTTTCATGATGTATGTTACGTTTACCTTGAGTTTGTCATGGCCTCTTCGCAACTACAGACATCAAATAATTAAACTGGATTGCCACCAGTGATACAACTTCCTCATGTATAATTATGTGCTTATCAAGGCCAAGGTTCCTAAACATCACTTGGAGAAGTATAGCTTTTATTTATCCCACAAGTATTTTGTGACAGTAGGCATACTAGCAAGGCAGTTCCAGCGCCATTTGTTCAGAGCCACTTTGTTCATGACCGGCTTGAATAAATATTCTTTCTCAATTGGTTCATTTGGCTAGAAGAAGTCTCCATGCCAGAGTGAATACAGGAGGTTGATGGGTGGTCAGGGATAGGTGATGGGTGGGTAGATATTTTAGAATGTACCTAACAATGAGTCACAGCACCCTATTATTTTACAAGAATAAAAAGCAACCATAATGTAAACTTCAGTGGACCTTGCAAAGGCCATGGACCTGAAAGTGAAGATGATTGAGGCTTACTGGTTCTCACTACAATAACGCTAATGACTTCTCAGTATGTAGTCAAAGTCTACTTGGTTTCAACAAAGATTTTATAATTTACTTACATTTTTGTCACAAAATATGTTCTCTCCATTCCTGCCTTTCTTATATAACAAAGGCAAACAAAATTCATGCATGAAGATATATATATATATATCCAGATATGTACACATTTTAAGAAAGGAAAAAACTGTATTAAAATTTAAATACTCAATATATACCACTAACAAAAGATGACTACAGGGCCGGCCAAGTAGCACATTGGTTAAGGGCTGGCTTGGGACGCCAGAGGACCCCGGTTCGGATCCCACATATGAGGGCCAGTGACACTGCCCTCTACAGCTAAGATGCTGAACAACAACTCAACCTGGATGGAGCTGGGCTGCCGTAAGTCGCTGGCGACGGCGTAGGCTGCAGCCCCTGCTGCAGTGGGTTGCCATGGGCTACCATATGTAGCCAGCAGCCAGCGTGAGTGGCCAACAGCCACAGTGAGCGGCCGTCCAGAAGCCGGTGATTGATCTGCCTCACCTGGGAAGAGCGCAATGATAGTACCAACTTGGGCCAGTGAAGCGACGTCCTCCACAACTAGACTGAAGAACAAAAAGGACAGCACCTTGTCTGTTCCCCTTCCCCCAATTCCTCAGCGCTGTTCCCATCCCCCAATTCCCCAATAAAAATCTTTAAAAAAAAAAAAAGATGACTACAAGTCATGTTTAACCTCTGCAATTCAAGAGGTGCTCAAAGTGGTTACCATCAGTGTAATTTTAATACAGTTTTTTCCCTTCTTAAAATGTGTATACATGTTTTCGGCACCTTCTGTGTGTGTGTGTGTGTGTGTGTGTGTGTGTGTGTGTGTATGTACACATACTCACACACATGCACACACACACACACACACACACACACACATATAGTGACCAAACAATACAGTGAATGTTTAAGTAAAAAAAAAAAAAAGTATTACCGTGAAAGTCACATTGCCATTAATCCCCCTTAAAATACTCCCCCTAGCTTCAAACACACTTATCTCATCGTTCTTGCCACTTTCTGACTTAAAAGTCCTCTTTCATGAGCGTCTTTAGTTGCACTGTCATGGCTGCCTCAATGTCCTAAATCATTTTGACTTTGGGGAAGAGCCAGAAGTCGCAGGGCACCAAATCCAGTGAATAATGTGGATGAGGACACACTGTAATGTATTTAGTTGACAGAAATTGCCATATACCAGAAGCGATATGTGACACAGAGTGTTGTCATGATGGAGGATGATTTACAGCACACTTTAAAATATACCTTCCCTCAACCGCAGCTCACACCCAACTGACACCAAACAAGCTGAAACTTGTCACACATTGTTACTAGGTTTTACATGCTGCTTCCCACGTTGATCCTTGCCTTTGTGTTGCATGGCACTCAGCAGCAGCATTCACCATATTTTGTGATCACACCTCGTATATATATAGACTGATATGTGGACAGATGCTGTGTCACACAAGTAGGAGAATGAAAGGTGTGGGGAAAGAATTGAAGAAACACTGGCATGAATGATGATATTATTTGATATTATTCAAAAATATCAAATAAAATTATAATTATTTTTATTATTTTACAATGCTGGACTAGTCATTTAACTATGACCCTGCAGTGAGACAGCCCTGTGTGGAGCCCCAGGAATTATTCAGCTCATGCTAATATGGTGTACAATAAGAAAGAATAGTAACACAAAATGTTTTGTGTTGAATTAACGTGCTCCGACTCCTCTACAGCCTTGGGAGTTGCTGCATAATTTGGTCTCTGATTTTTATTACTAGCTCTGCACAGCATTCTGACAATCCGTGTCTCCAATGCTTCAATATACCCCTTGCCTCAATTACTCCTCACCCCAAAATCTCCTCCAAACAAGAGGAGGGTTGTAGGACCCAAATGGACAGTCAAATAACAATTGAGATTAGAGTTTTAGCAGATATCCACCCAACAGAAACTACCCACGTTTAACAGTGTAGCTCAACATGTCGACAATTTACCAAGATGTTCACTCAGCCTCAAATTCCCAGAATTCCCTCTTCACCAGTGTTGAAATCCAGACATTCAGCAATTGAAGGCCCCACGATTTTCTTGATCATCTTATTCTTATTCTACGTATGTTCTCTTCGTTGATTTCTTGGTTGAGTGTTACTTTTTTCGTCCATTTTCTGTTGAGATGGCCTGAAAAAGAGGTACTGAAAAAAAAAATGGAAGAACTCATTTTCATGCTTCACAATACCTTATATCATTTGATTCTCATAATCTGTATCAGTATTTTTGAAAATCAACTGACTTCACCAAGCCCCAATTTTACCAGCCTGTATAATGAGGTACATTGCAGCATTCCTTTTTCCAGTATGGTTTCCTATGTCACACTGGAGAGCTTGAAAGCCACATTAACTACTCCTAACCATGAAAGACTTATTACATTTTAGGCATTTAGTTTAGTTTACATTATCATGTTACATGGTTTTAACATAATATATCCAGTAGTGACATCTGAAAAGTACACTGGCACTGGAATTAAAATAACTAGTTTGGTTCAACTTCTAGATGATCTACCACAGCTAGTTTCTGACCCTGCAAGCCTAAATAAGTAGCTTACCTTCTCTGACCTTATTTATTATTTCATCAATAAATGGACTATAAAGCAATTATGTTAACAAAGGTAGGATAGTGACTGAAACAAACACATTAACACCTCAGTGACTTAACACAACGCAAGGTTATCCCTTGTTTATGTAACTATTTGGTATGGGTGTTTAGCCTTCAGCCTTCCACACCCTGATTCAAGGACTCAGGTTCCTCCTGTCTTGTGGCTCTGTCATCTGTCACTACCTGTAAAGGGCCAGAAAGTGAGTATGTTGGACTCTACAGACTGTAGATGATAACTACGCAACTCTGACATGGTAGCACAAAAGCAACCACTGAAAATACGTTAACAAACTCATGTGGTTGAGTTTCCATAAAACTTCATACATAAAAACAGGTGGCAAGCGAGATTCGATGCACTAGCCATAGTTTTCTGACCGCTGCTCTAGATTATTGAAGTCCTCTTCTGGGTTCTTTGCAACCAACTGGTTAACAAGGGGAAAATCAGTGTGGGAGGAATGAGCAGTCTTCAATGAGCCAGACTTAAAATTAGCATATATCACTTATGCGCATTCCACTGGCCAGAGCATGGGCATACCTGACTCCAAGGAAGCCTGAGAAATATCTTGTTTGCCCAGGAGGAAAAGAAAATAGGGTGCTATGAACTCATAATATTCCCTGCCAAAAACTCTTTTTTCAATGGTTGCCGAAAGGGTCATATGAGATAATGAATATGCAGAACTACTTTGTAAATTATAATCTTCTATGCAAATGTAGAGTGCTATTTTTATTATAATTACTATATATAATGTCTCTATGAATACCTTACCACCAGGGAGTGGTAGCCCCCCTTAGACAGAAGAGTGCATATGGATATAAAAAGCACTTAAAATTTTTAGATCAAGCAGACTCTGCAAATTATTCTTTATAAGCCAGGGCAATCAGGACCCTTTCCTCCAACTTGGGTACCTTGAAATGCCCTAAAATTTCTTCTTCCTCCATGGTAGTGACAGGGTTGGTATGCAGAGGCAAGTACTGAAACTCTTTTCAGGTTATCTCAATAGTCAGATTATCTGCTGTTAAATTGAAGTTTATTTATGATACCCTTGAATGCCAGAAACAATGAGTTGGAAATATAAAAATGCAGCTATCCATAGTATTAATTAATTAACTAGGAACCCATGCTTAATATTCTCCAAGAGTAAAGGGCTGTGCTGGGGAGATAGGACACATCAGAAAGCATATAAGCCAAGATAAAAACAATTTTCAATGTGATCCCTTCAATCAGATTTTGAAGGTCTCACTTCTAAACCATTTAATGTTTGAGATCGGGTCATGGTATTTTTTTCAACAGCCTTTTCACAGAGTTGCATCAGCAGCACAATTATCCCACTAATTTTAAAAAGGGTTCTCTTCTGTTTGTGTCTTTTAAATGATGGAATTAAACATGGAGAAAATGAAAATGTAAAAGATTAGAATTAATTATATCAAAAAGGGAATAAAGCAGGGATGGTTCATTTACTTATTTAACACTTAGCAAAGTAACAAATCGAAAGGACTTCCTATGAGGCAACTAGCTGTCTAACATTTATGATTTCAAATAAAGCAAATGAATCAGACATTTCATGGGGTTGGTGAAGACCTCACAGAATGTGGGTAGTGGGCAGTACAGGGGCAGACTGCTGTGTTGGCTGGTGGGGATGATGGTGATTTGCTGGGAGTTGTGACCTGGCTGGGTATCTATGTCTCCATGTTATATACAATCTCTTCATTGCTAAAGAGGTGGCACTCAGTGGATAGGGTATCATAAGGCTGAGTTTGGTCAAACCAGTCCCAGGCAACCCTATACCCCTGTGCCCTCATTCACTCTCCAGAGTGTCCCCAGTTTGGACAATCCATTATATGAACTTGCTGTCAATAGATATGTGTTTATGGTTTGATGAGCAGAACTTGGGAAGATGGCACTCATGCCATCTCTTAACAGCCACACCCAAGAGACTCATAGCAGCAACATGCACAAAGAACCGAGCATCGAGAAAGTAGTAAGATCCATGAGTCCATAATTGAAGTACTTACTGGTTGTAGCCATTTCTCTCCCTGATGTGTGGCAGGAAAACTCCTCAGCAACAAGAAAATGGCCAATCAGCACTGAGATGTGAGCTGCCTGAAAGAAGAGGTAAATGGTTGTTTGAGAATCTTCATGAGCTTTAGTCACCATTGCTAAAACCCTGGACTTCAGCGCCCAAAATAACTTGTCCAAATGTATAAAACTCCAGTGTTCCTCATCTTAATGAGTAAAACTAACGTCTCTAACTATTTATCAATTCAATTCTTTTCTTATATTTGCCTAGGGTGAATTTGGGGGTATTTGTTAATTGTCTCACGATTGATTCTGAACTTGATTGATCATAATGATAAAATCTCATATGACAAGGAGCTTAGTTAACATTCATTCCTACATGCTTCCAGATATAATACCCAGAAAGAAGCAATAGCTTACCTAAAAGCATTAGCTGGCTGGAGGCCTACAAGAGCTCTGCCCCAGGTCCTAACTCCTCACCTGGTATTCCTACATCCTATAGCCAAGTCTTCACAAACACCAGCTGTAGTTACCTCCTGCTTGTCTCCAGTTCATGTATTTGTTTGGTAGCACTAATACTGGAGAGATATTCCTCTCTCCAGAAAATTTAGGAAAGAGGAAATGAGTTTAGCATTCAACTGGAGAAATGACTGCCCACCTAAGCCCTTCTTTCTAATGTTAGGGATAAGTAGAAAACCCTTGGTTCCCCCTGAAGCAGTATCAGCCAAGAGCAAATGATATGCTTCCCTTTCTCTTCAACTTTCTCAGAACCTGTCCTGTACCATGATTGGCCAGAAAAATCCTCTCTAACCTCCAAGTAAGTGTCTTTCCATTTGTTCAATGTTGTATCTACCCATGTAGCTGTTCTATGTATATTTGTAAATTCATAAGTTAATGACCAATGATTAGATTCACCAAGATAACACACAGCCAAACTGTTAAGAGTCTGTTGGGTAATAAACAGCCATGTGTCCCCTGACTGCCAGGACTCCTATTGAGTGGAGAAACCACGAGGGTGCCTGGAAGGAACAAGAATTGCCTTAGCAATAGAGCCACACTAAGCTAAGTAGGAAAGAGGTTTGCAGGAAAGTCACTGACGCTACAAAAAGAAGAGCGTCCTTCCTGGATGAGAATATTAGCATTGCAGAGGAATCACATAGCAAAAAGATACAAGAGGTAAATTGTTTATTGGGGAGGACAACAGCAGTTGGGGTATATAAGAGTGAAGATGGATGCTGATGGCTGCAGGTAACACATATTAACTCAAGTTATGCTAAATAATGTGATCCTGTATTTTCTGATATAACTGGTAGTCCAGGCAAGTAGGTTTCTGGGTTGGGTGATTCAGGGACTCAAAATGTCATCATGGGTCCATGTTCCATTCAACCCTTCTCTATGCAGAATCCTCAGTATCCATATGACCTCTGAATGGCAGCACAATGACAAAAGCAAGTGTCACAGCCAGATAATAACTCCCACAGGAGGAAGAGAAACTATTGCTCCCAATGGCTCTCTCTATATATTTTATTTATGTATGTGTTGTTCATTTATTTTTGAAGAATGCATGCTCTTTATTACTATTAATGAGGCTTGTAATCCCCCGACTATAGTTTTCTCCCTAAACCTGAGCAAACATAATTCTTAGAGTCAGAACCCACAGTTCTTCTTTACCAGCAATGAAACTTTTCCAAGAGGCTCTCAGAACATCTTTTTCCCTCACATCTCATTGTTGGATTCCATGTCTTTTCCTAACACGTTACTCACGAGGCAAATGGAAATCCCCTTGCTACCCTTATAAGAGTGTAGCTTACGCTGAGGAATATGGCTACATGGGAAAAAGTGAACACCTAAAAAAAAGAAGTTATACTAGGGAGGGTGGAGAAGAGGGTACTGAGGCATGGACAACCATTAGTACTCTAGAGTAAGAGCACCAGTGATTAATTAGCCTCGTAGGTTAGCTCTGCAACATATGAAGATTATAGTAACCCTAAGAGAAATAGCTTTCATGGACATAGTACTTCACAGTTTATAAACTCTTCCAAATCTCTGATGCAGATAAATACCGTTATATTATACCATCTTTCCAGATAAGAAAAGTAGGTTCAACTAACTGATGTACAGAGTTATATAGTTAGAAAATGACCATCGCATGTGGGGAGTAAAACAGTTAGTGAAAATTTGTCTGGTTCCCTGAAATAAAAATTCCAAGTCACAGAGTTTCAGGGGAAAAAAAAAATCTAAGCAAATCTCTAGTACTCTACGAAGCCATAAGTTAAATGCATTTCGTTTATCATAATCACATTGCTTTTGATACATCATTTATTCATTCATTTATTCAATAGCTTATAATGTGCAAGACAAATTGCCAAGTACTCAGGATTAAAAAGATGAAAATATATTGCACCTATGGCTGCACGCCTGAGTTCACAACACACCACACAAGATTAAAAGGTAAGCATGGACCATATTTACTAATTGTAAGATGTCATTATTGGAAAACGTGTAAATGACATTGAGAGAGGGAAGGGGAGAAAACAGAAATACAAAATTAGATGCACACATTTCACTGTAAAACACATGTACATTTCAGAACTGTTCTAACCTGGAGGAAAAAACTATCAGAAGAGGAGAGGCCAGCCAAGCACAGCACAAGGGTTACAGCAACACGCACACACTTGCCTTATGCGGGCACCAAGTGAGGGAGCGATTCGCTCTCCAAGGAAGACATGGGGATGATGTGATGGAGGAGGTAACATTTTAAAAGGAGCACTGAAAAACAAGTTGGAGCTTTATACATAGAGGAGAATCCAGGAAGAAAAAACAACATAAAAAGACATGGGGCAGGAAGCAAGAGTAAATAATCATTTCACTGTGCCTTGAGGGCAGAGTCTTCTTCATGGAGAGAGAGAGAGAGAGAGAGAGAGAGAGAGAGAGAGAGAGAGAGAGAGAGAGAGAGAGAAAGGTGGGTAAACATACTATGTTGTGCTCTCCCACATGAAATGTTCAGCTTCTCAATTATTTATTGAACTATTGGAACTAAGCTCCTCAGGATGCGAGTCCCAGGCCCACCACTAATTGGCCTGATCATGTCAATATCTTTTCTGAGCCTCCTCTTTGTCCTCGAAAGCAGAAGAGTACCCACACCTAATTCTTGGGTGGAGCTCTCAGGATTTAACGTTATGCTGCCCATGAGGCAGAGCTCAATCCTTGGCATTTGCAAGCATCTGATAAGTGGTAGCAGGAAAAGAAAAGTGAGAAATGGGCTCCTTTCCTCAGTCTTGACATTGAAGAAAGTCTTTTCTCAGGCGCCAGACAGACAAGGTGGGACAGACAGAGCGACTGTCACCCCAAATGTAGAGACAGTCCAGTGTACCCCATTTCTACAACCACTCCTGGACAAAAAGCAGGGGTGAGTCTGGGGAAGAGCCGGGTGGAGACGACAGAGGCAGAGGCAGAGAATGATATGCTGCACTACCAGGTCATTCCCGGAGGCATGGGGACAGCAAGAGACTCCCCCCTGAAGTGTGAGGTGATTTCAAAATAAGAAAACTGGCATTCACTTCTCATTTAAAGATGTCTGCAAGTGGCAGGCTTACAAAGGAATCCCCTCGGTGGGGTGTGGGGACCAGATGGAACTGTGCCTTCTCACAAAAGGACTCCATCCCATTTCCTGCACCATGGAGCCACTGAAGGGCTGTGTATGTTTCTGGGCCCCGAATGGAGAGGCACCGAGGCTAGTGGAGGCATCTGCTGGCTCACTGCTCTGGACAGCACAGTCCAGAAGGCAGTCCCTCAGGAGTGGCAGAGCCAGAAGTCAAGCCGAATGCTAACGCGGCATGGGTGGGGATGTAAGGGGTGGGGATGGGGGGCATGTGTGTGTCACATAATCCAAGGCCCCGGTCCAGCTGTGAGTCCCAACATTGAACCAGCCCGGATAGAGAGGGCGAACACCTCCGGTCCCTTGCCAGCTCCCGCCCTTGCTGCCACCAGCCTTGAACAGCACTCACAGTAGAGACCAGCCCAGTGATGACGTGGATGGAAAGCAGTAGCCAGTCGAAACCCAGGAAAGGAAACACACAGGCAAACGTTCTTCCCCCTAACCTGGTAGCCATCCTGGGGAGCAGGAGGAGAGGCAGGGGGAGAGGACACTCTTGCTTCTCGCTGAATATCAACCCCAAGGACACTACGCTTTAAACCAGTAAAACTTTGTAGCCCAGGATTATGTTTTCTGATATGTCTTTGTCTGTTCGGGCTGCTATAACAGACTACCATAAACTGGGTGGCTTATAAACTACAGAAATGTATTTCTCACAGTTCCAGAAGCCGGAAAGTCCAAGACCAAGGCATCAGCAGATCTGGTGTCTGGTAAACTTCGGCTTCCTGGCTTGTAGAAGGCTGTCTTCTTGCTGTGTCCTCACCTGGGGGGGGGAGCAGAGAGTGAGCAGGCTAGCTCTCATCTCTTCTTATAAGGGCACTAATCCCATTCCTGAGGGCTCCACCTTCATGATCTGCTCACCTTCCAAAGGCCTCACCTCCAAATACCACCATATTGCAGATTAGGATTGCAACATATGAATTTTGGGGTGACTAACAGTCTATGGAATGAAAAGGGGCAATGAAACGATTGATGAGCTACGGTGAGTGAGTTCAACCACAGAAACCCCAAGTCCTCTGCACTCTAATTGTTCTCAGTAGTTGAGAAAATCAGAGTAGTAACAGCTAATATTTGTTGAACCCTTGATTTCCCCGGGTATTACGTTAAGCGTTTACACGGATTGCCAAATTTAATACTCCTGAGTAGATAGGTACTACTGTTATTTATATTTCATAGACAAGAAAACTGAAGTAACAATTCTGTGTTCTTGCTATATGTGTTAAGAGTTAAAGGAGGAGTAACAAGCTATGTTACCCTGTTGCTTGAGAGAGCAGCCAGTGCCACCACAATGAGAGATGAGTCCTAACGCCACCTACTTAATACCCCATGAAACACTAACCAGTAAAAACATGTGTTTCCCATGTTTTCAGCCATCTAAATCAGATGAGAACAGCAGTGCTCCCAGGTGAACTTGGGACGGGGGTGTGGT